TATTATGAAGGGCTTTCATAACGATTTCTTTTAAAGGTTATCGAACCATTACCATTAAAAAACTTAAATATTTTTTGGTCACTGCAATTCTTAAAATTATAAAAACCATTTCTTTTAATAAGACAGAATTAAAATAAACTGAATTTAATGGTGAGTTATGTCAGCAAAAGTCACAAGAACTTAGCAACTTCTCTATTAGATTTTGAAAAAATATATAAAACTACAAAATACTTTTTTTTTGCTATTTTGTAAATATATGTAAGTGAAACTATATATTATATAGTTGCTGTTAGCTTCCTAAAATTATTCAAAAACGACTCGCCTAGGGTAAATATTTTCTGCCTTCATAGAGCATGGCATGCACATAGTAAATGGGAAATAGTTTATTTTTTCCCTGTCTGGTGATAGATGTTATAGTAAATATTGGGAGGGTTTCACATTCTAGCTATCTGCCATTTGTCTCGGGAGATCCATCCTTTTTTGTTTAAAAGCTATAGCGTTTGTTTGAGATTGTAACGCGTCCATAATATTCTGCTAGTCTTACATGTTGCAAGATGTTTCGATCTATCTGTTATTTAGAAATATTTGGTATTAATGGCTCGAATTATCACTTCAAATGGTGTGTGTGAGTTGATTGCATGGCAGACTCTTTTCTCTCTAGTTTACTAGCTATTTCATTTTTTGCTTAATGGCACTTAATAAAAGGTTGCACTGGCTGAATTCAAAGCCTCAATTACAATGTTATTGTTAAATATGTAGTCTACGATAAGCATTCGATATGCGTTCCCAATTGAAAACGCCAGACGAGTTCGTAACGCGCACTTTTCACTATTTAATCCTTTGAGATGTAGAACTGCTCGACACCGCAGTTCATTTTTAAGCTACCCATAAAGATTGCTGTGTTAAAACCGTTAAACAAAGATTTCATTTTTTACTCCTTCAATTTTAGAACCGCAGTAAATTATTGATACATTTTTTTTTCTTTCCAGCAATCTGCTTCTCTTAACCTTAATGGACTTATAGTAGTCCTTTCTGTTATGCATAAGTCTAGCTCCGACTGCTCCCATATATGTTGCGAATCGCATACTATCAAGTTTGTTGATACTGTGCCTTATCCAAAGCTTTCTATCGAACCACTGAGCCACATGATGAAATTGGGCTTAGTTTCTATTGGATGCCCTATTTCCAACCAACTATTTGTTTGGAAGCATATAGGAAAGTACATGCTTCTTTTATATTTTAGTTTGTGTAAATCTGCAATTAAGTCTCGAATACTTAAATTAAGTCTCGATAATGTTTAATCACAGCATCTTTCAAGTTTGAATTGTATATATTCAGTGTCATATTGATGTTTGGATCATCAAGACCATTTTGCAGAAAATTTGGTTCTTTTGTTAGGTCTAAAGTGTTTTAAATATATTATCTATGGTATTTATGTGATTTTTTAGTGGTCACAAAGGAGTAATAAAGGAGTAAAGGGTATCGTTTTTAAATATATTTTATATGTGAATGCTGTTATTTCTGCTTTATGAACTTATTTTGTTTTTGATAAGTCCCGGGAACACTTGAAATAATAAAAAATCATTTACTTGAACAAAAGTGCACAAACATTACATGCTTAATTTGCTGAAATCAATAGTATGGCTAAAATAAATGGGTTAAATACAGAAAGGAAGAATGCAGTAAGCATCCAGCGTCTAAAAGAGATGAAAATAACTAAAGCATTTCAGGCACAAAAACGCATATTTCTAGGCAATACTTTTTTCTCATTGTTAAAGCTCTAAAAGAACTCGAAACAGAAATGCATATCAATCAACTGCAGCAACGGTGGGGAAGAATAGAAAGTATGCGTGTGTGCAGTTTTGTTGAGCTGCGGTGCATTAGTTTTGCTGGAACTGGTCACACATAAGCGTGTAATGAAATGCATTTTTCGCCATTGTTTTATTGCAGTTCAATTGTGATTGCAACGAACGATAAGGGATGATGTTAATGCAGTATGGCAGAATGGAACTGCGAAAGAAAAAAAGCATAGGAATAATCATTGAATAAGACAGTAAGTCAGTCAGGCAAGTAAACGTGTAACGTTCGTAAATGCTTCTTGCTTCTGATGTTAAATTGAAGTTTCGTAAGGTAAGGCATTAAGTCAAAGGGGTTAATGTTACTCAACTTCCCGATACAGCTACAGCTGCTCCGATAGAATACTGCCCGATAGGGCAACACAGCATTTTAATTGTACTTTCATATCTATTAAGGCTGAAATTCGAAATTCCAAGAAAACAAATTAAAAATTGTGATTTAAAAAAATAATAAATGGCAAACTGTTGAAATGCTAAATGTGTTATTACAATCAATAGCTTTTGAGGGTAGAAAGAACTTCATGCGTAATATCCTTCAATTGTTGTGAGTAGTGCGTATGCTGGTGAATGAACTTTTACATATGATTGATATGGAAGTATGATATGGTTTAAACTGCACTTAGGCAGGAGTACAATAAAACAAATATTTAAAATAAGACCGATATAAAATGCAATTCAAATGACGTGCTGCTGGCTGCTGACTGCTGACTGCTGGCTGCAGGCTGCAGTTGCTGACTGCATACACACTCATGGAAAATTTATTGTTGTCCTCAACTGTTGCAAGTGTGCTCCTTCGAGTGCAGTTGCGAAAGCTGTTAGGTTTTGACGACAAATGGCCTTCCACACTGTCAATGAACCCAAAATAATAATAATAATAAATTATTTTAACGGGAAGGGTTTAATTCCAATAAAAACAAAAACCAAGAGTTTTTTGAAGTATGTGCATAACGTACTTGAAATTTAATATGCACGCTTGCTTATAATATTGCACAAAAAACTGACCTATTCCCATAAAAATTATATTCGGTAGGGTTTGCTGTTACTACATCAATATACATTTTTATATATATTTGCTTATGTTCAACTATATTTACACATTAATATTTTTATGAAATACTAATACTAAAAGGTGTCAGTGTGGAAACTTTAGTTTAAGTGTGAATAGTTTTTTTAATATCTGATTACGATAACTAAAGGTTTTACAAACAACTGTTACCATCAACAAAATGCATATAAGACAATGACATAAAAAAAGGCTGATTAAAAAATGCATAAATGCATAGTTTTTTCTCTTAATATCAATATAATTAATAGTAAATAGTATCTTTTATGAGTTTTTCTATATATTATTAGACTTTGCATATATCAATGTATAATTTTGAATTAAATCTATCAGCTAGACTTACACATGTAGTGCTAATCTTTTAGTATATATAACAGAAATATATATGTTAATTTATTCTTGCTGTAAGCGATTAATTAATTACGAAATTCCAATATTTCCTAAGACCACTGACAATGAATACTTGGCAATACTCGAAACAGCATTGTATGGTCAGCCAAATTTCAATAAATTAAATAAAATTTTTGTCCTTGTCCTTTGTCCTTTGCTATTCGAATCCATCTTAGAAATATATCTATAATCTAAGAGAAGAAAGTAAAAATGTTAGAATAACCGAAATGTTTCGATATCGGTTAACAGTCAGCTTAACTAACTAAATCTGACATTATGTTAATAGAAGAAATATAAGCTATGTTAACGAAATTATTTATACATATTCTAAAACGAGTAGTTTTTCGAGACAAATTTAAAAATTTATAAAAATACTAATACATATAATTTTAAGATCAATAAATTCTCATATACATATCCACATTAATAAATCTTATCGACCAAACTTCTTTAAAGTGAAGTCATTATGAGAAGGAGTTATTGCGTCCCGATTAAAACTTATCGTGTCCTTGTTTTATTTATTTATCTTTTAATTACACTTCATACGCAAGCAAGGAACCTATGTCGTGTTTACTATCCTTTTATGAATATTTAAATGAAAATATTTTCTTAAATGCACTTACCTGAAGGGTGAGTGAAGAAGCTTCACTTAATCATCAACTTGCATGGTAATTATATTAAGGAGCAGCGTGCAACCGTCAATAAATCACATTAATTTTAAATAATAATAATAATAAGGTAAATTTTAACAACAACAACAACAACAATATTAGCAACAGCAACAGCAAGAGCAGCTATAAAACAAAAACAAAATAAACATAAAAGTACGTTATTATGCATACAGGCATGTAAGCACACACTAACCTCGTTAATGCGCTAAGATAAGGTACAGTATGTACCAAGCGGTGCAATGCTGTTCCTGGTACTTTACTTTTTGCTCCTTGCGCCTTGTTGCTGTTGACTACACTCCAATATGATATGTTTTGCGAACGTTTGTGTGTGTGTTTTCATGTAACCGGAAACCGCCATTAAAAGTGCATTTGAAGTGAATATGAGTTTGGCTTGAGAAGACTTTGTAGGAAATTTTTCAGTGTGCAGTTGCTTGTGTGCGTCTGCTTATGCATGTGTCAATGGCAGTTTGTGTGAGTGTGTGTGTGGTGGTGTGTATGTGCGCCGAGTATATGCAGGATAATAAAAAGAAAGCAGTTGCGCATTGCATTGAAGTTGTAGGGATCCTTTTGTAATTTAACTCTTTTAATTACATTCAATACTGTCTAAGAAGGTGTTGGCTGTTTTTATTGTTGTTATTGCTGAAACCTTCTTTCTGTGCGAATATCGATTTTCTTATTACACCAAACAGACACAAATTGAAAGATTGTAAGAGCACCGAAGTGTTAAATGCTTTTAACAAAATCATTAAAAGTTTTTTGTATTATTCAAGTAACTTAAAGACTACACAATTTAATCAAGCTTAATTAATATTTGCAGGCCTAACAAGCTCAGCACTTACTAAAGCCGGTGTTATATTTCAAGTTACTACGATTAAACAATAAGCACAGATCCGCGATTG